ATCTTCCAAGAATACAAGGGTTGTCCAATCGATGCCCATGATGTTCTGTTAAAATTAGAGTTGACGCTTCTGAAGGGAAAGGAAAAAAAATAAGACTGTGACTTTGTTTCAGAGATGGAGGAGGAGCAGAAATTTACTAAACACAACATTCTTGGTATTCCACAGATGGTAAAAACGGGTTACTAGTCTGCACTGCAGCAAGTGTAGTAAGACCAAAGTGGAAATATAAAAGGTAGCTAGACAATAATTTTATTTACAGCAATAAAACACTAAGTACAATTTTAATAACATTAAATGACAGAGCTCATATATGTATTGTATGTTCAATTTCAGTAGTCTAGACAGACTGTTTTCCAAGGAAAATACATTTTCATCAGTATTTGTGGTATGATTCATGGTGGTGAAGAGGCAAATAACTCTTTATGACTGGAAGTTGCTTTAACTTGCAGCCACAAGGAAACAAGTCAATGACCGGATGATAGTGGTGGAAACTCACATTTTATAGTAATAGAGGTCTACACCTTATGCTGAGTTGGAGGTTTTATTTTTCCGAGGCAGTCTATCACAAAGCATTCTGCCATTGTTTACAAACAGCCAGAGCTGCTCTCTGTGACAGCTCCCACCCCACAGTTTAGATTTGCAAAGTTCACAGGCAACTCTAAAAGTATGCAGGCTTTCCAGAGCCTGGGATGTGGTCCCAGGACTTGCTAGGCTTTGTGTCTGCCCCAGTGCAGAAGGGGCACTCCAGCTCTGTTTTTCCTGCATATTACTAGTTAGAGCATTAAGACAGATGCAAATTTGTAAGCCTTATGTTTGCAATCTGACAAGCAATGTTGTACAGTTTTGTATGGGCTTTGGTTGGATCTATTTTGTATCTCTGTTTGTTTTATAACTCCAGTAAAGGCAGAGGCTTGTACTCACAACTATCACTGTGTTATCTGACCCAAATAAAGAGAATGGAAATCTTTGAGGACTTTTTTAAGCCTCTGCTGTTGATGTCAAGGTTTTTTGAAATGATTGCTGAGCACGTTTGTAGGCTCCTGTTCTGACCGTGCGGAACAGAAGGAAACAAGGTATTGAGTTTTAAAATACTAATGCTTAAATTCATTGTCCTCAGAACTTCAGGGATTTTAATTTTCATCTAATATACAATCTGATTCTTTGTGGGACTGGAGCATCTGTGCCAGGGAAAGGCTGAGGGAGCTGGGGCTGTCCAGGCTGGAGAGGAGCCCCAGCTGAGAGGGGCCCTCAGCCCTGGGTGTCCCTGTGTGCAGGGAGGGCTCCGAGCAGGGCCCAGGCTCTGCTCCGGGGGCCCAGCAATGGCACCAGAGCCACGGGCAGGGACTGAGCCCAGGGGGTTCCACCTGCACAGGAGGCACAACTTCTTCCCTGGGCACTGCCTGGGCACTGAACACACACCAGAGAGGCTGGGGAGTCTCCTCACTGGGGATATTCCAGACCCCTCTGGACACAATCCTGTGCCCTGTGCTCTGGGATGGCCACACTGGAGCAGGGACCAGATGAGCCACTGCAGTCCTTTAGACCTTATAATGTAATTGTTAAATGAGATAATGTTAATATTATAATTAAAAACATGCGCTCAGTTGTTCTGTGATAATAAAGGACTGGAAGAAAGAAAGGGAGCTGTGATCTTGAAGGTACTGAACTACTGGAGTGCATTTAAACCATCCTCATACAGAGCTGTCAAGTGTCAACTGCCTCACCTTTGTCATGGGTGGCCTGGAGCGACTAAATGTTCAGTTTACATGCAGACAAACTTTTAGGTTCCAGAATTCATTAGGTAAAAAGTCAGTGTTTCTGCTTGTACTCTTTGCCCTTTTGTATAAAGAGGTTATTTTTTAGAACCTAGAGAAGTTCCTTAAGCTGTTGCAGACTCATTGTGAAAGCAACATATAATCTGTGTATTTACTAAAGAACACCAGCTTTTACAGGAGCTATTGAAATCTCAGTGAGGGGAAATCTCTTCAGCTCCAGGGTTGATTTGTGTATCAGAAGTTACATCTTAGAACATGCAATTTCACGGTGGTTGACCAGCAGGTTAAAAATACTCCTCTTGACCACACACAGAGTAACCTTTTTTTGAAAGTAAAATTTAGCTATGCTGATAGCTACTGAATTAAGACAATTGTTTTTAGCTTTGTTACAGTCTGTGTATTTTCAGCCTTTTGTCTTTTATATTTTTTTCTTCTCTTTTTTGTTTTCCTTTTGCCCTCCCCTCTGTCAGAAAGCACATGGTGTATTGATTGGATGGCAGAATGGAAGTCTGTCTTCATCAGCTTCTACATTTTCTTGGTTTTGCTGTAAGGACATGGAAAGGCCATGGAAGGAAATTGCCTCAAATTGTGCCAGGGGAAGTTCACATTAGGTATCAGGGAAGATTTATTCATGGGAAGGGTGGGCAGGCATTGGAATGGGCTGCCCAGGGAGACAGTGGAGTTACCATTCTGGAGGTATTCACAGAAGGTGTAGATGTGGTAGCTGAGAACATGCTTTAATGGTAAACATGATGGTGCTGTGTTGATGGTTTGACTTTATGATTTTACAGGTCTTTTCCAAGCTTAATAGTTCTAGGGTTCTGTGATTTTATGATGAAGAAGTTCTTACAGAGGAGAAAGCAGTATTTGTATTGTAGATACCCAAGCATACTTCAATCGTATGTTGCAGCAGTCAAGTTCAATAGAGGTAAAACAGAAAAGAAAAACGGAAATTGAATGCTAAGAAAATATTTCCATAGTTCAAAATGCAATACTTCCATTTTATTGTAGTGTTTGCATTTTTTAACACACACATACCTCATTGTGAATCAATGGATCTAGCTGGATTTTTGGGGAGTTTCTTTTTTAAAGCATAAATAAAATAGTATAGATTTGCAATGCTTGTATCAAAATTCACTGTCCCTTGGTAGCTTGGTGCTAGACTAGTATATTTTATGTGGAGTTATATTTGAAGAGAAGCACTGCATGTGACATTTATATATTCCAAGGCCACCACTTGTGGAGTTCTAGTGGAGATGTTTTGGTTTTTTAAACACAAGCATACAGATACTGTTGTGATGTGTTTCAGAGAGCACGCTGTGATGAGCTACTCTAGGCGTGGTGTGATGACTTCTCACACTGTTTGTGCCTCCTCATCTGTGCCTCTCTATGTGTGACTGATGGACATGCTGTGTGACTTGGACCCTGAGCTTTGCTCAGCTGCCTTGGGTGCTCATTTCTGTTTGCAGAATCACATCTTCCAAATTGCTAAGAGTCATCATGTGAGATTATATTTTATGGCAAAATGTTGCATTATCAAGGCATCCTCTTTCTCTGCATAGTTGTGAATAGATGTGATAGGCTTTGTCTTATGGAATATCCACTTGCCATATATTGCTTTGTGTTCTCTAATTAAAAGAAAAATTTTAACTCTTACTGGTTAAGAACAAACACTTAGTGATGAAACTGCTTTTTTCCATGGGTGCATCCACAGAATTGTCACCTTTTACTGTATCTTCCTTCTATTAATTATTATTAATGGAGAATTCGTTGCTATTTATTACTGTACTGGAAATGTGTTCATGGCATTTTCTCTTTGTTACAGTAAGAATGGTAACTTTACAAGATCTTGAACTTCTTTCCTTGGTCTGTAGAACTTTCTGGACAAACTAATTTCTAACAACCAAGGTGTGATTGATAGCTGAAAAAAGTCAAGCAAATTTTAGGGAAAAACTGCAGTATAGTCAACTAACCTTATGTTTCTTTGGGAGAACTTTCTAATTGCTGTATAGGTAAGGAATTCACCAAGGGAAATAATACCCTGTTCATAGGATTTACTGCCTAGTTATTTTTTTTCTAGCAGGGAAGTGTTTCCATAAAAAAAGTGTCTGCTGGTGTGCCCATGCTTGCTGTCCTTCAGAAACTCCTTAGTCAGCACAATGGGAACCAGATGGGTGGGAGAAGCGGAAGCACAATGATGAGCAGAAAATAATAAACCACTGCAGATGTGCAGGGGGAAACAGAGATCTTAAGAGCTACAGGAGAATATAGTTCAAGATGCATTATGGAGAATACATATGTATTTTGGGCTTAAATACATACATACATACATATATATATGTTGCAAAAAAAAGTTACTTTTTTTCTAAGCCCAAGTGGCCTCTTTTTAGACTTGCTTTCTTGTTCTCAAGAGGACATATGCCCAGACCTGTGTAGGAAATCTGGCTGCCAGCTGGCACAACAGCACAGCACCTTTCCAAGAGACCTAATTTTAGATTTGCAGAACCTGGCAATACTAGCCGCCTCCATATGTATTAAACTGTTGTTTGTACTATCTGTTAAACTGAATTTGAACATTTAATTTCAAGTTTCTTTGCCAATTTGAGAGCTGTTGATAAGCACAAAAAAAGTGTTTTAATTTTGTGAAGTCTATGGGTTCATGCTATTGTGTTTTATGAATTCACACCTTTTGGTGGCTGCTGTAGAGTATTAACTTGTGTGCTGAAATATCTTCTTGTATTTTAAATCTGTATTGAGAGGAGGCTAAAATGAATCTTTTGGAGTAAGAGCAGAAATGAGCCATATTAAATTTGGTGTCAAAACTGGAGGCAGAGCTGTTTGGAGAGCTGGCTTTCATTTTTCTAGGTTAGAAATTCTGGGACAGATGGTATTGAGCACATCATAATAGTCTATGGTGATTTGTCCAGCTAACCAAAATATAATGTGAGGAGCAAGGACCTGTAAATTAGTTCTTGTAATCACTAGTAGCCAGCACGTAATACTCAGATAAGTCTTGGGTGTAATTCTGAAGTACTTCATAAAATTATTTCAATTAGAAGAGAAAATGCAAATATTTATGTACAGTAGCAGTGAAATACTGCACCTAAAGCTTCCTGGAGATGGATTCTGCACTGTGTACCTGGAATATTGAAGTATGTAATTTCTGTGAAATTTGTAAGTGTTGCTTTGAATTTTTGTTAATATATTTTCTGGATTTCTTTTCAGCTCTTCGTTGTAGTCTCCAGTTTCTTGGAAACATTGCAGCAGGAAATGGAGATTCCCAGAATAGCATTTGGAAGTGTGCTTTTCCAGATCTCTTCTTGTAAGCATGGATGCGGGTTTTCTTTCTAGTGTCATTTGTGTGGTTGTATTCAAATCTTTTGTACATGATAGTTGTGCCTTTGCTAGCACCATGAAACTGAAAAATAACTTTGGTGAGAATGGGCTGGTTGAGACCATATCCTGTAGATGTTTTTTGTTAGTCAGCCACAGGAGTCAGAACCTTTACAATCCTGCTTGTTCTAAACTAACAGTAAATTGATTTGATTTAACAGAAACTGGAAGAAAACTAGTTTGGATGACGAGCTTCCAACATAAGCTTTATTTCAGACATATTTTCAAGTAGTTACACGAATTTCCAAGAACACAGCATTTTTTTTTCTCATGTTGCTGCTGTGCAGATCTGTCAGTATTGGTGGATCAGATCAATCTATAAAAGTTCCTTAGTCTTCATCTCTTTCCATCCTTCCGTCCCCCCTCCTAACCTCACCAGAATATCTTCCTGGGGATTTGATGACATACATGTAAGGAAATATTACATAAACTCTTTTGTGCAGACACATGACAACACTGTTGATGTGTTCAGCCAGATTTTTTGTAGTAAGCTGGTAACAAAGGCACTTTGATTCAATTTGATAATCATTTTCTGTGGGTTTTTGGAGCCCACTTGTCAGCAGTGGGTGTCGGAAGACCTTACAGAACAGCAGTTCCGATTTAGCATTAATTTTGTAAACTTCCTGTGAAGTTTGACCTTCAGCTGTGAGTTGGATATATTTTCCTTGCAGGTGACTTTTATCCTTCTCAGGCAATGACAAACTCATGGTTCTCTAAAAGACAGCAAAGGACAGCTCAGTGAGCTCAGTGCCACCAGCCTGTTTTTCCAGGGTCTGTTTTAATTCACCCTTAACTCCTTATTTTCTTTTGAAGGACATGCCTGACATACAGTGATGAGAAAATTGTCACCTATTGCTGCATGGTCCTGTTCACCTGCCTGAATTCAGAGCGAGTGAGAGAACTCCTGGATCCGGGGAACTTGACTGTGGCTCTTCACGTCCTGAGAGTCTACAAAGAGCAGCTGGATTCTGAGTGGTCGTATGTATTGTTACTTCTTTTTCCTCACCTCTTAATTAGGTGATTTTTTTATGGTGTAAATCACTGTATTAAAATGTCTGAGCTTGTGACACTGCAAAGTAGTAAATGAAGATCTAATAAGAAATCAGTAGTTTATAATAGAGATAATTTTCATGGTAGTTTCAAAGTCTCTTTTGATTTCTGCTAAAATAAGACTCCTTTTTTTGTTGAGGACATAGGAATTTTCAAATCATGGTCTATTTTTCTTTCCTTAATGAAACGGGGTTCTAGAATGCAAACTAATTTATGTGTGCTGGTTTGTGGAAATTTTTTAAAGTTAGCACAGAATAGTCTCACAGACAGGTCATGCTAAGAAGACTTGTATGTCTAATTCTTGTGAGTTCTACATAAAACCTGGGGTTTTTTCTGATTTCCTTTTTTAACATAGGCCTTTTCTACTGCAACCTGCAGTTATTTTTATACCAGAACGGGGAAGACTTTTTTCTGTGAATCTTCTTTTCATACTTTAAGAGCACCTAATCAGTGGTTTTATCCCTTTGAACTTTTGTATTTTTTACTAATGGCCATTCTTCTAAATATTGTTGTCAGTTATGCCTTTGATAAATATGCTGCCCTACATAGCAGGGATGCACATTCAGCTAATTGTTACACCGTGTATTCCAAGGGGAAAAAGTTGTTTATATGTTTTTATAGCATTCTTTCTAAGTTCATGTTTAAATTCAAAATTTAATGAGGAAGAATTGTTGGTGTTTTAGAAATTATATGGAAAGTCTCAACACAGACTTAAGATGATTGAATGAAATTTCAGTAAATATCATTTTATAGTTTGTATTTGTACTGAGAAAAATGACCTGAAATTTGTTTGTGGCTGGGCTTTTTTTAATGGCAAGGGCAATTTGCTTAGGACAAAAGTAGTTTTCAAAAAGCCAACTGTAAGTTTAGGGTCAGATTATGAGACTTCTGTTTTAAAAATGACAAACTGAGTCTTTAGTTTTGTCATCTGTCAGTAACACACGTGTAAATTGTTGCTTTTCAGATAATTATCCTGATTATCCTTATTTTCTTTTAATGTATTGAAGATACATTGAAATTTGTTCTGACTGATATACCAAAGTCGTTGTGGTAAATGTATGTTTTGAAGGTAAATGCAGAATAAATGCAGCATCAAAATAAATGCTGAGAGATGCATTTCCCTGATCTATCTAGTGTGAAGTAGATTCAGGTTGATGTTATGATGAAAATGTCTTACCTCCACTGTAGATGTTTGTGGGTGGGAAGTGGTCTCTTTTCCGGGTAGTCTTGAAAAAAGGGGAAAACTTAACACTGAAAATTTGCAGCTGTAATTTGGCTCTCACTGAAGTACATCTACATCTTAGTAGGATTGCTAAAAGGAATTGACATGGCTGTGGCATTTGCAGTGAGCCAATGTCCTGTTGGAAAGGTTTGAGTCTCTTGTGCCACAACTGGCAAAAGTGTACAGAAACCATTTTATGGTATTATATGGCTGGACTGAAATACAGATTATTCCTGGAGGTTTTGCTCACTGCTTACTCACAAGTGACTGAAATTAAGATGTTCTTACCTAAAGTTAAAGGTAGTGCTTAATTCCTGCCTACCTTCTTGTCTCTGAGCTGGAGCATCTGATTTCGTGTTACAACAAATTAGAAGTGACTGCCATGTGTATGTTTAGTCTTCCTCTTGAATGGGCTTTCTTGTAGGCAATTGCTGCTTTTAGGTAATAGAACTCTTTGTTTGAATAACTAGGTAAGTTTTGGTCATAGGCAGAACTTCTGTTCAATATTTTATTTATGTTTATTATTTTATTGTGCACTGAAATTTATGAAATTAATGTGCCTCTAAGACAGTATCCAGTTCATTCTGCAAGTAAACAGCTGTGGTACTCAAATTATTTTTTCAGATGCTGCCGTGAATTGTTAGGACAGAGAGAGGATATCCAGGATAAATATTTGGATTTAAGGCCATTGGCTGAAATGTAGCCTCTCTCATGGAGTCCTCATTACTCCATTCAGCTAGCACATATTGGGTTCTCTATTCCTTACCCATCACAGGAATGCAAGCACACCTTTCAGGTCTTTATTTGGATGAGCTGACAGTTCTTTCTCTTTTAATAATCCTATATTCATGTTTAGAATCCAGTTTCCCATCTTCAAGTTGGAAAAATCCTTAGGAAAAGTTCAGGAGGAACCTCTTTCCAAGTGGGATGCCTTTTGCCTCTTCCACAGCAATTTTGTAGGCAGCTTCTGTCCAAGGAAATCTGAGATTGTTCTGAGCAGTTCCTCGGAGCTTTTTTAGAGGCAGCAATTGGTAGCAGAACTTTTGCTGTTCTTCTTCTATCTGCCATAAACTCCTCCCCCACTTAGAGAGAGCAGAGGAAGGGTCTTTAAAGGCTGGATGTAGCTTTTTGGAATTTTTCTGTCACTTTTGCCTACTTCTTGAGTCACAAGACGTTTGGTAGAAGGCTAAGATTTTGTGTCAGGAAAGAGGGAATATCTGAGGTGTTGGCTCTCCTTCCTGAGAGGGGTGGGTCATGGGAAATAAGATCTCAGTTCAGCAACTTCTGATTCTAATCAGTGATGGAAAGCCAAGTCATTCACTTCCTAAGCAGGTTTTGAAACAGAGAAGAGCTGTTTTGCATATCAGCACAGCGGAATTTCTAGACTAAGCACTGATGCAATTTTAAAATGTGTTTGTAGATTGACAGCATAAGAGTTGCCTTAGGATGTGAAAGAATGAGAGGTAACAGTGTTGTGATGCACATCTAAGTGTGTTTCTTGAGTGATACCATTTCTGTTAAGTATTTTTGTGGTGTGCTGTAGGTTTAGAAATAGTTAATAAAGGAGAAAGTCAGTTTTATAAGGAATGCCCTGGTCAAATTTTGTGTTCAGTTCTGTGATGATGTTCCTCCAGATAAGATGGTCTGAAGGCTCATTTCATTAAGCTTGTGGGTTGCTTGTCAGCCTCAGAAATGCTTCTATCTCTGAAATCTGTAAAGCTGGAGAATGTAATACACACATTTAATAAATATTCTAATGATTAAAGAACTGATGCATCCTTCTCTTTCTCTTTTAAAAGCTTGATCTTCTCAACAGCTCCAGGATTATTTACATGTTGCTATTTGCTATTTTTAATGTTAGATGCTGAATGGCATATTAAAATAATATTAACTAACATATATTAGAAAATGCATTTTTACATTCTGTTCTGTACAGCTCCTGAACTTGTGTCAGGCTAGCAGTCCTGTAATCTTGAATGCTGGGAGCTCATCTGAGGTTGCTGCTGCTGGTCTGACTCTCAAGAGCAATGATCTTCCCGTTTTAGGGACAGGTTTGCTCTGCTCAAGATCACGGTTGTGGATTAGCATTCCCTCTAAAATGCTTCCTTGCACAAACTCTTTAAGCCTCTCAGTTCAGTTGTTTCCACCTTCTTGTGATCTTTCATTTCTCATTTCTTTTAGTATTACCTTTTTCTTTTTGATCTGTTGCTAAACATCAGCAGATCTGTCTCCTAAACTCTTACTTGTTTTTCTGCATCTTTAGGATGTGCTTCTTCCACCTCTCTCTTCCATCTTATATTTCTGTTCAAAGAGATGAGCATGGTTTTCAAGCCCTTATGTGACAGTAATTAATTTTCTATGTATCTCCCATCTTTCCAAAGTATCTCTAATGATACACAAATTTAATTCTGAACTGTTGGTGTACTGAGTTGAACATAAAGAATTGTAGGATAGTTTGAGTTGGAAGAGGCATTAAAGCTCATCCAGTTCCAACTCCCTGCTGATCAGGACAGTAGAATAGAACAGCATTTTACTCACTTGATAAGGATAGCAGAGCAGAACAACATTTTTCTCTAATCAAATAAGGGAACAATGTAGCCTTGGAGAAGCAGACAGAACAGAATTCTTGCAAAATGCAAGCAGAATGCCAGCTCTGCTCTGCAAGGCTGACAAAGTGGAAGTTAGGCGAAACAATGATATTGCACTTATTCAAAAGTAGGGGTCAAGGAGCAGCCACATAAAAAGGACACTAGATGTTGAAAGGGAGACTCCCAAAGAACCATATAAGGACTTCCAATAAGAAGTGAAGCTATGTCAAACAAAGTCAAGGAAATTGCTCATGAATATGTAATCAGAGTGCGTGATAAAAAATTCTGTTCACCTGATGCCGAGTGCTGCCATAAAGAATACCTGCTCTCTAATACTCCAGCTGTGTTAGAAAGTTTCTGTTGGGCTAATTTCAGTATCAATGGCATGGGCAGGGACACCTTCCACTATCCCAGGTTGCTCCAAGCTTGTCCAGCCTGGCCTTGGACACTGCCAGGGATGGGGCAGTCACTTCCCTGTGCAACCTGTGCCAGGGCCTCACCACCCTCATAGGAGGAATTTTTTCCCTATATCTAATCTAAACCCACTCTCTGTCAGTTTATATCCATTCCCTCTTGTCATATCACTACAGTTCCTGTTGAAAAGTCCCTCTCCAGCTTCCCTGTAACCCTTTCAGATACTGGAAAGTGCTGTAAGGTCTCCACACAACCTTCTCTTGTCCAGGCTGAACAGCCCCAACTCTGTCATCCTGTCTCAATACAGGAAGTGCTTCAGTCCCTTTATCAGCTTCATGGCCTCCTCTGGACTTGCTCCAACAGTTTAAATGTGTTAATGCATAAGTATTTTAAACACATAAGCAAACCTGCTCCATAAGCTGATTCTTGTCTTTCTACCAAAGGCTGCTGTCAGGAAATTGGACATATCCATCCTTTAGGAAACAAAGCTGGAATATAACTGTTCAATAACTGAAATGTATTTTCTACTCTATTCTGTGTGAATACTACCAAGGCCTGAAGAGCCCTCTGTTACAAACTCCCTTGCAATTCCAAAGAAATGTTCTATCTTGTTTTTTTCAGTAATAGCTTTTCCTAAACACATGCAGAGAGCCTTTGGCTCTGGAAAATTGTGGAGCCTTTCAAAAGTTGTTTCTCTGTGTTTC